ATTTGTTGAATGGAAGAGTTATATCTTCTTTAATACTTTCTTGTGACAATTTATCGATAATGTATACATAGAGATTGATAATCAACAGTTGATCAATTAGTGAGAGTAATCTCAGTAGGTATAGGAAAAGCATTTGACAAATCCACCCTCTGTTCCTCATTACAAATTCCAAGTGAATCCCGAATCCAAGGCAATTTCTCCAAATTCATAAAAGGCCTCTAGAAAAACCTACATCAAATATCATACTTGATGGTGAAAGACTGAGTGCTTCCCCTAAGGTCAAGAATTTTGGCTCATATCTCTTGTATTTAACATTGTACGATGTTCTAGCCAGCACAATAAGGCAAGAGAAAAATATGAAAGACATACACTTAGAAAAGGAAGAAGCAAACCTATCTTATTTCACAGACATCATAATTGTTCGGTAGACAATCCAATGGTATCTACAATAATGCTACTAAAAAAAGCAAGTTAAACAAAGTCAAATGTACACCTTTCATATGATGTAGTCATTCCACTCTCAGATATTGACCACAGAGAAATGAAAGTATATGTTTTAAAAAATTGTATACAGAAATGTTCATAGCAACGTTATTTATAACAACCCTAAAGAGGGGCTAATGAAAATGTACATTAATAGGTGAATAAATAGACAAATTGTTTATCTTTCTGTGATGGATTACTTAAGACTCAGCAACAAAATGGAATGAAAGATTGATACTCCTGAGACCATGGTAGAATTTAAAAATAATTATGCTGAGAGAAAAAAACAGACAAAAGAGTAAAATAATTCCATTTATACAAAATAATAAAATATGCAAACTAATATGTGACAGAGATGTTGCCTGAAAACAGGAATAGGTAGTGGGAACCAGGTTGAGGGAAGGATTACAAAGAAACATGGGGAAACCTTGGGGGATATGTGTATGCTCATTATCTTGGTTGTGGTAATGGATTCACAGTATCTTTAAATGTATAATCTTATAAAATTGTTTACATTAAATAGGTGCAATTTGTTTTTATGAAAATCATGCATTTAAAAAGCCATTAAAATAAAAATGTAACAAATATCTCCCCTTAATGTTGTTTTAAATTTTCTTGTGTGACACAAAATGCAAAATAAATCTCCATTAAGTTCTCATTTGCTTTAAAATACTTTAAAAAAATATACATAACAGCTTTCTATATCCATGTGCTGCACTGTTTACTTTCAACCCAACATCTTCTCAACTTATTTTGTTTTTGTCCTTGTATATCCGAATAGAAGTTTGCTGCTGCTTTTTCAAATCCTTTTCAAGCATAGTTTTGTTACAGGTCCTGACATTATATCTTAGAAGGTGGAGAAGAATTTATGTATCTTTTTAAAAATTGATTTATTGATTAATGATTGGTGTGTGTGTGTGTGTGTGTGTGTGTGTGTGTGTGTATGTGTGTCTGAGAGAGAGAGAGAGAGAGAGAGACAGAGATCAATTTGTTGTTCTACTAATTTATGCATTTATTTGTTAATGCTTGTATGTGCCCTGACAGGGATGAGATCTGCAACCTTAGTTTATCAGGAGGATGCTCTAACTAACTGATTACCAGGCAGGGATGTTCTTGAATTGGTTAAGTACACATGTGGGAGACTATTCACATGTTCACTCAGAAGACTCATGAAGCCCCTTGACCTGAATCTGTGCAGAGGGAATTCCAGGAAACAGCTTGAACTAAGCTTCCATCTACATGTCCACAGATAAATGTTTGCAGGGCCTTGCAGAAAGATGTGGCTTTCTCTAGAACTTTATCCTAATAACTTTCATAGATTTTTTGTTTTGTTTTATAAAATGAATGGTCATAAATAGAGAACAAAAAAAGTGCTTGCTTTTGCTGCTGGCACTTCATAAAAATGACTAGTTTATTTATTTGTTTAAAAATATTTTTATTGATTTCAGAGAGAGGAAGAGAGAAATAGAAATAGAAACATCGATGAAGGAGAAACATTGATTGACTGCCTCCTGCATGCCCCCTAGTCGGTATTCATCTTGAAATCTGGGCATGTGTCCTGACTCGGGATTGAACAGAGGACCTCCTGGTGCATGGGACAAGGCTCAACCGACGGAGCCCCACTGGCCGGACAAAAATGACTAGATTTAAAAAAATGTGTGTAGTCATAGGGACATTTCCCAATGCTGATCCCAGAGCTTTCTCTCTGGTCTTTGAGAACCACCTTGGCCTAGGACAGTTACCACAAATGAAATCTTACAAATAGGTATCAGGCTGGCTGCAGCAAAACCACCTGCGGGAGCTTTAAATTTTTCATATTAGTGGGTCTCAGTCCTGGAAATGTTTCATGAAATTAGTGTTGAGATTTATCCCAGAATCTGCCATTTTAAATCACTCTCACATTGGTCCTATTATCAGCTGTTGTATGAATATCAGCTGTTATATCTTCCATAATTTGATAGCTGATAAAAGAGGAGAGTTCTAACCCGTGCTCCAAGCTTTTGATACAAATCCTCAGCTGCAGGTCTACCTGTGGGGGAACATTATTTGATTAAAGTGAAAGTCCACAGAATGTGGCAAATAGATGGTTGTAGAAAGCCTTTTTCAATTTTATTTTATTTTATTTTATTTTATTTTATTTTATTTTATTTTATTTTATTGATTGTTGACAGTATTACAGATGTCCTCCAATTCCCACCCTCCTTAGTCCCCCTCCTCTAAGCCCCCACCTCACCTCAGGCCTCCCCCACACTATTGTCTGTGTCTGTTGGTTATGTGTATATGTACAAAAGTTCTTTGGTTAGTCTCTTCCCATCTCCCAGCCCCCAACCCGCCTCAGAAATACGTTAGTCTGTTCCATGAATCCATGCTTCTGGGCCTGTTTTGTTAGTTTATTATGCTCATTAGACTCCACATATAAGTGAGATCATGTGATATGTGTCCTTCTCTGACTGGCCTATTTCATCCAACATAATATTCTCCAGCCCCATCCATGCTGTCACAAAGGGTAAGAAATCTTTTTTATGGCTTCATAGAGTTTCCTGGTGTAAATGTATCACAATTTTTTAACCACTGATGGGCACTGGGCTGTTTCTAGATTTTAGCTATTGTAAGTAATGCTGCTATGAACATAGAGGAGCATATATTCTTTCTGATTGGTGTTTTGGGATTCTTAGGATATATTTCCAGAAGTGGGATATTGGTTAAACAGAAGTTCCATTTTTAATTTTGAGGAAACTCTGTACTGTTTTCCACAGTGACTGCACAAGTCTTCATTCCCACAAGCAGTGTACTAGGGTTCTCTTTTTTTCTCCATCCTCATCAGCACTTGTTGTTTGTTGATTTATTGATGGTAATTAGCCATTCTGGCAGGTGTGAAGTGATACCTCATAGCTGTTTTAATTTACATCTCTCTGATGACTAGTGACTTTGAGCATTTTTTAATATGTCTATTGGTCATCTGTATGTTTTTTTTTTGAGGAAGTGTCTACTCAAGTTTGTTGCACATTTTTTAATCGGATTGTTTGTATTTTTGTTAAATTGTATGAGTTCAAAGTTGAAGGGATTACAATTCTGGATATCAAATTATACTACAAAGCTTTTGTAATTAAAACAGCCTGGTTTTGGCACTAGAACAGGCATCTAAACCATTGCAACAGAATAAGGACCCTAGAAATAGACCCATGCCAATATGATTAATATTTGACAAAGGAGGCAAGTGCATATAATAACGATAGTCTCTTCAATAAATGGTGTTGGGAAAAATGGACAGGTACATAAAAAAAGGAAAAGAAAAGGTAAATAGATTACCATCTTACATTATACAGAATAATAAACTTAAAATGAATAAAATACTTAAATGCAAGACCCAGAACCATATAACAATCCTAGAAGAAAACATAGGCCGTAAAACTGAAGACATCTCACTTAGCAGAAATTTTGTCGATGCATCTCCTAGGGCAAAAGAAACAAAGGAAAAAAAAATAAATGGGGCTACATCAAACTAAAAAGCTTCTGCACGGAAAAAGAAGCCATCCTCAAAATTGCAAAGGGAACCCAGTGTAGAGGAAAACATATTCACCAAGGTTACATCTGATGAGGGGTTAATTTCCAAATCGAAAGCCTGTTTTATGCCAGATCTGCAGCAGGCTGTAGGGTTAGTACTCCTGGTCTGACTCTCATTGCTTAGTTATCTTATCTTGGAATGAACAAAAGAGGAGGACATTAAGATATTGATCTGAGTTCACTCTTTATTGATTTTCTAACTTTAATTATGATGTTTCTTCTGTCTAGGATTCATGCTTAAAAAATGATTCTGAAATTCATTTGATTTTTTTCTTCTGAAATATTTTATTAAAAAGATAACATACCTTACAATTGTTTGTATTTTAAGACTGAGGAAATATTGTATGTGATGTAGTGGTGAACTTTCAATGAAAGACTGCTTATTTCAGTTCAATTGTGCAAATGTTTAGTTGTCACATAATAAATGTCAATCATTGTTCTAAATTGGGCTATATATAGTACTGAAAGGTGAAGACTCATTCAAAAAGACTTTGTATTACTTCCTCTGATTTCAACCCCAAATCCTTTCTGATTCAGTGGATTCTAGGCAGGCCCACCACAGGTTCGTGAGAATATATAGTACTGTATTAAAATGCTAAGAAAAAAAAAATTGCCATCTTCCAACTGCAGGAATACCCTGCATGCTCTGTTAAAGTACTTCCATGTCAGGTATTGTCCTAAGGAAGAAGAAAAAAAAAGACTTGAGAGCTTAAGATTGTTTAGATTTCTAATCACTGCTGAAAACTGATATGTGCCTCTTAAAGTCACAGATGAGAACTGCTATTTGGGCGGTAACCTAACAAACATTTCAGTCTCTGTCCACCAGGGGGTGCGGCTTCCCAACACAAACACATTTCCTGTGTGAAATGCAGGTTTAGATTTGTAATTTCGCGGTGACTTCAGCATTTCTTCATGTTAAGAGTCAAGAACAATATTCAGATGACACTATAGAGATGAACTCTTCCCTGGGCTTAGTGACTGTGGTACTCTTTGTGCTTGGTAAGTAACCACCTCTTAAATTATGGATTATTTCTTCTAGCATGTCAGCAAATTCTTTAACTTTAATTTTAGTGAAGAGCTTCATGCCCAAAGTGACAGAGTTCTGTTTTATTTTTCTTCAGGACGAACCCATGGAGACTCGGTGACCCAGACAAAAGGCCAAGTGACCCTCTCAGAAGGGGCTCCCCTGACTGTGAACTGCTCCTATGAAACCACATGGTACCCTGCTCTTCTCTGGTATGTTCAGTATCCCGGAGAAGGTCCACAGCTCCTCTTGAAAGCCACAAGGATCAATGAGAACGGAAGCAGCAAAGGATTTGTAGCCACATACCGAAAACAACCAAATGCCTTCCACTTGGAGAAAGCCTCAGTTTGCCAGTCAGATTCTGCCATGTACTACTGTGTGCTGAGTGACACAGTGACAGATACTGCAGGGGGAGCTGAGCACAAAGTCTGAGCAAGGAGACTGGCTGCTGAGTGTCTGTGATGGTTTGATCACTTTTGTGGATTTTATTATGAAATATCAAATACAAAGTACAGTTAATAAAAATTTCCAATATTTTATGCACATTAATAGAGTGCTAGGATAACTAGACTTCCATATGTACAGGGATATCTAAGAAAAGGAAGTCTTTTATTTAGAAAACAATGCACTAAAACCTGGAAATAAAAGTAATAAATTATTTAAAGGTTTAATATATATTAAACATATTGATATGGCTCTACATTTCTTTTTATGATACAATTAGTATGATAGGATATTAAAAATGGCCTTCCTAATAAATAAATGGGAGGTTTATAAGCAATACAGTTAAAGACTGCCTTGACTCAACTTTTTACTAAATCCTTGAGCACAAAATTATTACACACAGTTTTTTTTAATGCTTTTTATTGATTTCAGAGAGGAAGGGAAAAGTAGAGATAGATAGAAATATCAATGATGAGAATCATTAATCAGTTGCCTCTTGCACACCCCTACTAGAGATCAAGTCCACAACCTGGACTGGAATAGAATCTGGGACCTTTCAGTCCAATGTTCAGTTCACTGAGCCAAACCAGCTAAAGCAGTAGTCAGCAAACTCATTAGTCAACAGAGCAAAATATCAACAGTACGATTCAAAGTTTTTTTGAGAGACAAATTTTTTAAACTTAAACTTCTTCTAACACCACTTCTTCAAAATAGACTCAGCCAGGTTGTGGTATTTTGTGGAAGAGCCACATTCAAGGGGCCAAAGAACCACATGTGGCACGTGAGCCTCGGTTTGCCCACCTCGGGGCTAGGGCAACACACAGTTTTGATTGATGAGTGTTCCCCATCTCTTTTAATGTGTTTTCTTAGGGTTTAGAAATGAACTTTTACAAATAATTCATAAAAGATTCTGAATTGTAAAAGAATGAGGGTTGAGAGACAACTGATAAAAATGTAAAAGTTGTTATTAACAGTTGGCTTCCTTATGCTCTGCTATATACGGTATAGAATTATCTTAATTTTAGTTTCATCCCTTTCTATAAATCTTAGTTTCTCCTTAATGCTTCATCTCTGATAATTTTCCATTTTTTTCCTTCCTATGTGAGTATTAATTTTTGAACCTCTGTCTTTTTTCTTAGATCTTACCTTGTAGGAGTTATCTTAATTCCCTGACTTGGTGTTCTCTTGGAGCCCCCTTAGGCTGTCTCTTCAGCAGCATTGACCTTCCTTTGAGATCTCTCTTTGGTGGGTGTGGTGGATTCAGTGGGCAGGGCGGTGGGGCTTCAGTCTATGCACAGGGCAGCAGGAAAAATCCCATCCAAGGTGCTCAACTTTCTTGGTTGTTTTCTTTTAGGATTTTCTTTTAAGTGATATGTAGCAAGATTTTAAAACTTTGATTCAATCAAATAATTGTGTTTTATACATGTTTTGATTACTGATATATTTGAACTTATTTCTAATATTTTGGTTTTGTTCCACATGCTCTTGGTGTTTTCTTTTTATCTGTCTTCTGTGGCATTGGAAAATTTTTTTCTTTCTGCTGCTTTGAAAAATGTGAGATGTTTTCTTTCCAGTACCCTTAAATTATTTGTGTGTGTGTGTGTGTGTGTGTGTGTGTGTGTGTGTGTGTGTTATTCTATAATATTCCCCCCTGCTATATCTTGAAATATGGTAGCAATCATACTTGGGTAAAAACTACTGTTTGAATTTTAACCCTACTATTCTGACTTCGACCTTCACTTACTTGCTTTGTTCATCGTGTGATGGGCTTAGGGAGGATGAGTTCAAGTTCTGGGCAAGGTTACAGGCAGAACTTTCTTTTTCATTAAAGAGCCAGCCCTATGTACACTTAGTGGTTATCTCGATGCTAGCCTCAAAAACAATGCTGTTCTATCCAATTTAAAAAAATGCACCTGGCATGGTATTGAGACTGTGGGTATATCTGGTCTCTGGCCTGCAAGGTCAGACAGCTAAGTTTATCTTCATCATTCTTCAAATGGGCTAAAGCAAACTAGAAAGCAACATTTTATCTAGGAAGAACAGCAGAAAATTCCAAACAACAGTTTGTTGTAGAATGGGGGTTTTCCTTCTCAGAACCTTTAAAAATAACTACCTGCCCCTAAAGCCTCGCAGTTGTTTGGAGTCCTCCTGCATGCGGTACTCTTACGCCTGCCTGGCCAGTACAATAAATCCCTGTTTGCTTTTTTTAAAATAAATTATCAGCCTCCGGTGGTCTTATTTTGAACCCAGGGTTTGACCCCACAACATTTGGGGGCCCCCAGTGAGATACCCGAAAGAGAGGAGAGAGGGACTCCCCAGGGTAGGAGGCTCTCCCTCACGCAAGAGGAGAGAGGGACCCCCGGGAAGGAGCAGGAGGCTCTCCCTCCTTTCGGGGACCTTAGCCGGAGAAGCTGCAAGGATTTATTGAATAAGGGAAGACCGGTCTCATAAGGTAAGGTGCCCAGGTTATGGTTGAGATCTCAAAAGGGTAAGAGTCCTTGGAGGGCTGGACGCGGCTTAACCTCCAGGCTCTGGCCGGAGGACATGACGGTGTCCTCGGCCCGGGGGGACACTATGGTGTGTGTCCTTGGCCCCAGGTGTCGGGACGGGTTGTCTTATGTTTTGTCATGTTTGTGTCAGGCCTATTTGTTTTGTGTTTTGTGTATTTGTTTTGTGTTTTGTGTTTTGGCCTCCGTCAAAATGGGTCAAGGTCTGTCAGTGTCTCTGTGTTCCCCTCTACAGTGTTTTTTAAAAAATTTCCAGGACTTCAAGAAACGGGCGGATGACTACGGCTCTGATGTTAATGCTTTTGATTTAACCACTCTTTTTCCCAGGTCAACACTGGTCTGTAGGATAACTTTCCCCTCACGGTTTATAGAATATTGATCTTGTTTCCTTTGTCCAACATGAGTGCCATTTCTGTTTTGCTGAAACACTGTAATAATACTTGTTTACTGAAAGGGTATAAGTACAGACGTTTGTTTGATGTTTTATTTCTTTGCTTGGGTATAATTATTTGTTCATATAAGTGTGAAAATCGGTAAAAAAAAAAAAAAAAAAAAAAAAAAAAGAGAGAGAGAGAGAGAAAGAAAGAAACCTTTAATTTGTTAGAAGCTGAGTGCTCTGACGGCTAGCAAACTACCCCGAGTGGCCACTGGGATTCCTTTTTCCCAGGGGTGCTTTGCTTTCTTTCAGAGGGGAATTGGCCCACCTAACAGGATTTATATGTTTATTAATTTGAAGGTATGAAATTGTAACAATTGTGGTACAAAAAGTTAAAAGCAGAGACCGAATTCTAAAATTAACTATTTACAAGAAGGAAGCTTGAGCTGGCAAAGTCGCCAAGTCTGCCCAGCAAGCTCAAAAAACTAAATGAATCTTATTTCTGCCACCACCCAGTCTTGATCAGAGGTGGAGGAACTGTTTGTTTCAATTGATCAATTTAAGTTTGATATGATTAATGATTACAGTACATTGCAAAATCTTTAAAAGAAAAGGAAAATATTTTGAGGGCAGCTTGGTCTTTCTGTGTGTATGTCAACTCTTAAGTTATAGTTTTAAAATCAGTAATATTAATGGAAACACACATAGAAGAGCTTTTCAAAAAGTTCAGGGAGTCTGATTGCAGTATAGGGGTCACCAGTTCCCCTACACCACCTTAGTTAGCAAGAGGCAAGCGGCGAACCGCCAGATGAAAACGCTTAGCCTGAGTGGGAGCTCCTCCTTCACCACCTGGGACCCTCGCACTCCCTGCCTCCACCCACCTCCAGGGGTTGTTTTGAGTATTTGGAAGCTGCTGTGGCTAGGAGATAAATTCCTTTGTGACCCCCTGCACCCTAGTGAGATCCCAACCCCCCGGGTGACTATTTGGACACTTTTCACCGTGTTCTGTTAGGGGGCTTAAAAGCGCAGTTAGAAATTCTCCCATTCCCCTTTTTCAGGCTTATCAGAATCTGAGATCCTCACCCTGGACCACACCATTTGGGCACAGTTCCTGAACTTTTGGCCTTAATCCAGGCCCTTTGATGGGGACACAGTGCATCCCCTGGGAAAGAGGGTTACCAACTCCAGCCAGAAAGGACATTATTTTAGCCTTACTTGAGGCCATCTGACTCCCAAAGGCAGTTGCAATAGTGCACTACAAAGGACATCAGAAAGGGAAGACAATTAAAGCCAGAGGAAATAGAGCCGCAGACCAAACTGCTAAGGAAGATGTCCAAAAACCAGTGAGGCCTTTACAAGTCTTAGTAACCCTGCCGCCAGATCCCCACCTCTACCAAACTAGAGGAGGAATTGGCTGAACAGAAGAAAACCATCAAAGGACCAAATGGTTTGTGGACCCTACCAGATGACAGACTGTTGGTCCCAGAGGCTCTAGGTCGGATGTTAGTTGCCCAGTTACACCAGGTTACCCACTTAGGTGTCATCAAAACTTCTGAACTTCTGTAAATGTTAAGGTAGGAGGGTACCCCTGGGAATTTGGGCCCCCAGAGAAATTCCCCTGGAGAGCATTGGAAAGTAGATTTCAGAGATTAAGCCACTAGCATTGAGGTACAAGTACATACTAGTTTTTATAGACACCACTTCTCAGGTTAGGTTGAAGCACAGGACAGAAACTGCCTCTATAGTAATCAAAAAATTACTCTAGGAGATTGTACCTAGATTCGGGCAGCCAGTAGTCATAGGATCAGTTAACAGCCCAGCCTTTGTAGCAAGGTATCTCAAAATATAGCTTAAGCCTTAGGACAGGCATGAGTAAGACTCTAAAAACTTTAATTAAATTTGTCCCAGAAAGTGAAAACTGGACCAAACTCCTGCCCTTTGCCCTCTTATGGGCCAGGTGTACCCCCTACCGGGAGAGGTCCCTCCCCCCCCCCCTTTTGAGATCATGTATAGTAGACCTTCCTTCATCTTTCCCAGGGTCAGGGAGAAACTGAAAGCTGAAATTCATAACCATTCCCTTGCTCAAGTCCTTACAGGCTCTACAG